TCAACATCTCTTCCCTCGGGCTTTGTCCACCAATCCCCACGGACTGCCTCACTCTGGAAACGCTCCTCCTTTCGGGGCCTCCAGTTAGGGACCAGGTTCTGCCCCTCGGCACAGGTCCCGGTCTACAGTTTCCCCACAACTTGGCGCGCTACGCTCCAGCCAGCCGCCTCACTTTGCTGGGTTTCCTCCTCCCCTCTGCCTCCGGCCTCCTCCCGGTCCTTCCGCTCCACACCACCTGGCCGTCGGGTCCAGCTTCTTACCGGGGCGCACTCGTCCTCCCCCCGGTGAGTCCCCTCAGAGTCCCCTCACTCGCTACCTCCCTAGCCTCCCCCAGCCCCCGCCCGTCAGCTTCTCTCCCTTGGCCCTTTCTTCTCTCTCGCCGCCGCCTCCATCCCGACCCGATCCCTCCTCCCTCTTCCCGTCCCCCCTCCCCACCACCGGCCGGCACCCTCCCCCAGCGCCCCTTCCCCCAACTCACTGGGCCTCGCCGCTCGGCCTCTGTCGCAACAGAGCTGCTCCTTGAGCTCCTCCGCGTGCGGCCGGCTCACCAGCCAATCAGGGCCTCGCGCGGCTCTCGCTGCGCCGCCGCGCGGACTCCTGGGAAGTGTCGTCCTCCAGCCGCGGCAGCCGAGGCTGAGACCACTCCTCAAGAACTACCTCGTATCCCAGGGGCCTCGCGGGCCTGCGTGACGTCATCATGATGCGCGAGTCTGGGGGGATTGGAGTCCAAGAACCCTGTGCCAGGGGTCCGCTTCAGGCACTGGAAACTGCAAATCCCAGCTTGCTCCTCGGATAAGCGGCTGGGCCTTCCAGGCTACACCACCTCTAGAAAATCTTTTGAATTGTGCGGAGATACCGAGTTTACAGGGTCGCCCAGCCGGCTCAGACAGCACGCGAGCGACTACACTTCCCAGCAGGCATCAGGCAGGAATGAGTCCAAACAATGGAGCGAAGAGGCGGTAGGTGGAGAGCGGAGGAGAAAGACTGAGGCGACTGGTGAGAGTGGGACACGAACTCATCACTAGGAAGAAGATGCGAAGAACAGAATTCTTCCATGAAAGAAAGGCGTCCTTGTTTCATGAAAGCGAGAGTTTAGAGGCTGGTTCATTGTTACCAAACTTTTCGAAGGGAATTGTTCCTGAACCTTGGCCGCTCCGCCTGCCCACTCCAGAATTAGGTCTCCATGTAAGTTTGATGGGAAGAACCCTGAGGTTTGAAAAAAAAAAAAAATCCCTTTTCTGAGTTTAGCTTTAGCAGTTAGCCATGAGGCCTTGCTGGTTGCTTTTCCTTTGAGTCTCCCTTTTTAAAATCTCTCACAAGAGTTCTCAAAGCTTACAAGGAAAATCCCAAAATTGTAGCCTCTGAGACTTCTCCAGGCTCCTCACAAGCAGTGACACAGATGGAAGGAAGCAAAGGAAGCCCCTACTCCCTCTGAGCACATTTTCCAGAAGTGGCCCCGCCTGATTCTTTTCAGAAGTGAGCTCAGTACGCTCCCCATAGAACTAGTTTTCCTCCTCCAATATGATACTCCAGTAGAATCTAATTACTTGTATTTCAGAAGTAACCCAAGCTATTTCTCACCTCATGCCTTTGAGCATGCCTTTCCCTAGACTACCCTCCACCAATCAGGTGCCTACCATATGTCGCTCAAAGCCAGATGTTAGAGGTGCAGTGGTGACAAGTCTTTCCCTGACCTCAGGAAGCTCACGGTTAAGAACACCAGCTAAAAATTGTCTCTTGCCATCTGGTTCTAGGAGAATGAAGTCACTAGCCACGGCAGTCACTGACCTTCATCACCCCCTGAAAGGAGTTCAGGGCAGAGATTAAGAATGAAGCGCTCTATGCTCTGGGAAAAACTGTAGAACAGGCTTCAGATAGTTAGAGATTTTCAGGAAAAGATTTTTATGAGCCCAATTTCTTGCATCTTCTCATATCTAGAAAAGAAGTAAAATCATTAATAGAGACATCTGCTCCTCCCGACTAACAGTAACCTTCTGCTAAACTGCGTGCTTGATAGGAGATATTCCCCCCTTCACTAAAACCATACATATACTGACTTCTCTACTTCTTCTGAGCAGTTCCTCAGAGCCATATGAGAGGCTGTCTCCTGGGCTATAGTCCCCACTAGGCCCCAAATAAAACAACTCACAACTCTCACATTGTGCATTTTTTTCGGTCGATAAAAGGAAACATTTAAAAGGAAACAGATCATGACATTCAGGTGATAAGTGCCATATGGGCAAAAGCACTGTTGTAGGTATAGAAGTATATAGATGATAGTTAACTGACTGCAAAGCTCTTCTTTATGAAGCAAGGAAATTATTTATGGTTGTGAATCATGTAAAATTGCTCACCCAAGCACCTCGCCTTCTGGGAGGTCTACAATATGCCTGTCTCTCTAAGCCTCATTAAAATGTGGTTACAGGCAGGATATGGAGAACTAAACTTACTTACACTCTTTCATTTCTGCCATCACATTTAATCCCCCCGGCAGACTCTGAGGTGGGTATTATTACCATTTTACAGATTGGAAATGAAGGCACAAAATTGGTAGTAAAACAGCATTGCTGGTAAAGACAGTGCCAGGACTTGAAGCTGGAATCTTCTAGTTCCAGAACTCCAGCTCTCTAAAATGACTCAGGTTGGCAAAAGAAAAACTAACCAGTTACTTCTCTGAATCCACCTACATAGCCACCAATCTCACCCATGATTTCCCATGAATTAACAGTTGCTGAACAAGGTCTTTTTCAGCACAGCAAAAGTAGCATAGAAAACGTAGAACTTCTGCCATTCCCATCCAGGGTTTGGATCTCTTGCAGGGAACAGACCTGGGCATGAAGGGAGAAGAAATAGGGAAATAAGAGGGAGAGGGATAGGAGGAGAAAAGGACTAGCTAAATGCGAAAATCACAGAAGCTCAGTGCTAGAGACAGTAAATGAAGAGTCCAGATTCTTCATTTAAAATATGAAGAAGCTGAGACCCAAGGGAGGAAAGATCTCATCCAGAATTAACTAGAAACTTAGTAACTGAGAAAGATCTGGAGCTTTGCTGTTCAATGTGGTAGCCTCTAGCCACATGTGGCTGTGGAGCACTTGAAATGTGGCTAGTCTGAATTGAGATGTGCTGTGAGTGTGAAATATGCATTGGATTTCAAAGAGTGCGTGTGGAGAAGAAAAAGGACGTAAAATATCTCAACTTTTTATATTGATTACATGTTGAAATGTTAATACATGGAATATATTTAATAATAGAAAATAACATTATTAAAATTAATTTCCCCTGTTTCTTTTTACGTTTTAAAAAATGTGGCTACCAGAATATTTAAAACTTACATATATGGCTCACATATTTCTATTGGACAATGCTGGTCTGGAACTTGCTTCTTTCAACCTGGAGATGAGTGTTTCTACTCTGCTTCCCAGCGTCTTCTAACAAGTCATTTATTTACCACCTATTTATGTGCCAGTTGCTGAGGGGAAATCAAATTGCACTCTTGAGTTTAAGACCAAACACAGTAAAGGGTAACAGCGTGGTGTATTTCATCTCGTGTGCCTCCTAGGATGGGTTCTTGGCTCTATCAGCCCCAATGTTCCCATTTAATAACCAACTTTTAAAATAACACCCAGTTTCCTTTTTTGAAGTAAAGTTCATAGACGGCATAACCTAATTACACATACAAACTTTAAAAAAAATTACAGTGTAACGATAATCGAAAGAAGAAAGAAAAGGAAATCTTTTATAATAAAAGAATAATGTTATTTCAGTATGCTAAAAAACATCATTCGATGCTTGTACCTAACATAGGGCCACCTTGAATGTGACAGTACAAATGCAGGCAGAACATCATGAATGACATGGCTGTCCACAATACAGTTCTCCAGAATGGTAACAAGTAAATTCCTGGCCAAAACCAAAGTACAGTTTTCCTTCCATTTACATGATAGTTATATTCCTTCAAAATTCAGCACATATTACAACCCTGAAAAATTACTTAATTTCTATGTATAAAAACAGGCTCAAGGATCAGATGAGTATAAGCCCCTCCCCCCCAACATGGATGTTCAATAGGGCATTGAAAGTTATGTGGGACAAAATTCTTTCTAAGGTGATACTAACTTGCAATGTACAAGCATCCTTCGCTCCTCCCCTCAACCATTTGACAACAAAATTGCCCCTGTATTCTTCCAAATTGCCCCCTACGGGTGTGCCATCCTGGGTGGGAACGCACCATAGTTGTTTGAAGGCCCTGCCTGCCTTCCAGCCTCCCCTTGAGCTGTTTTCCCCTCACTCAGCAGGACTTAGCCGCTTTGGCCTTCCCGGTTCTGTAGGCCAGTCAATATCTTCCTCTTTCAGAGCCTTCAGTTCTCTGCTCATTGTCTGGAAAACTTCACTTTTTGTCTGGGTAATTTACTGAATCTTTGGATCTCAGCATTCCCAAATTCTCAATCTAATTTAATTCTTACTGTCACGTTTTTCCACCATACTCTACTATTCTGCTATGGTACCTATGACAATTTGTGATTTCTACCTAAATTTATATATTTTTGTCAGTGTGTGTTTAATGCCTCTCCCTCCACTCTCAGTTCCCTGGGGCAGGGACCATACCTGTCATGCCTACCACTTGTTTTCCATGGTCTAGAACTTAGTAGGCAAGCAACAAACATTTCTGAAATAACTGAGTGCGTGATGGGGTTCGGAAGCCCATTGAGAGAAGTCGTCAAGGAGGCGGAAGCGCGCTCTTTGGGAGTGCGAGCATTTTTGTCTAGGGTAGAAGGAAGCTGAGGTTGAAGATTTCGGTCACCTTCGGAGCCAGGCTGGGTTCACTCGAATTAGCACGTGCGGAACGCACGCCTGTTCTGGGGGTGCTGGTGGCTGGCGGGACCACCACGTCACCCCGCGGCAGGCACGCGGCGCAGACAGGGGGCGGGGCGGCCATAGAGAAGGCGGTGGCTGAGCGAGCGGCCGGATGCGGTCACCATAGAGACGGGACCTGACAGCGAGCGGAAGAGGAAGGAGCCGGCTGGGCTGTGAGGTGGCAGCGGCTGCAGCGGCTGCAGCGGCGGAGCCGGCGCCACGACCGGGCACTGGGGTCTGTTCCCCCTTTCCCGCCCTTCCCCACGCCAGGGGCGTCTGGGGCGCCGCTTCGGAGGACCGGAGCAGGTCCCAGCCCCCCGCCCCCGCCCCCGCTCCCCGGGTCCAGGCTGGCCGCGGCGCCACGCCCCGGCCACCCGTTATCTGCCCGCCGCGGCCCCCGGCCGGTCTGCAGGGGCCTCCCTCTGTGGGTCTCGGGGTGTTTCCCGTTGTCCTGCTCCCACTGACGCAGGCAGGGCTTTTTCCCCCACTGACGGGTCTGAGAACGGGGTCTTTGCCCTCGTCTCCCCGCCGGGACCTCCATTCCCGCCGCCCGAGTCTCCCTGTCCCTCTTGACAGCTCCATGACGCAGCCAGTTTTATTTCTGTTGTGAGACTAATGGCTAAAACTCGCTTTGGGCTTTCTTTCTAGGACTAGAATCGGTCTTTGATTGCTGAGAGGTAGACAGGGGTGCTGGGCTTGACAACGGCCGCGCCCGAAGCCAGCCGAGCCTACGTGTGCCTTCACAGGATCCGTGCGTCGTCGTTAGCTGCCTCTTGGGGTTTGGTTTCGGTACCTGGGGCCCTGGTAAAAGCAGACACCGAATCGCTCTTACACGGCCAGCGTTACTGTCATTTGCCTCTCGTCTCTTAGAGGATGGTAGGCAGCATCAGCCTCTCAGCAGCTGGGATTCAGAGAAGACTGCCCTGCGAAATGGCTCTATCAGCCATTGTGCTCCTCTGAGAGGCTCTCAGTGCTGAGTCACCACATCCATCCACCTCATCTAGGTGGGCAGAGCTGTGCCCCAGGCCAGTGGCTCCTGACCACTCCTGACTGGGAGGAGGGGTTACTCTAGCCGAATGTTTCCTTAACTCCAGAATAGAGTAGGAAGGCCCTGACTCCGTCCCTGTGCCGGCCTTCAGCAGCCAGTCAGCAGCCCTTCCAGTAAACTGAGAAACATGCCCCCAGACAGGCGCTCTTTGGAGTTGTGTTCGTCTAGCTGAGGGCTGTTGTTTTGATGGAGTCTGTGCTTTCCCCCAACCCTGTCTTTATTAGCGGCTGCTGTCTCTTGGCATAGATCCAGTCTACAGATGTATGGAGTCCTTTTTGGGTTAGGTTTGGCAGGATTGAGTTTTGTTTCCTCAGTTTTTATTGGAAGACAGACCATAATCTCATTAGTGGGTTTAACTGATTCTAATATTTATTACCATTTGGACTGAGGGTCAGATCTGGCCCCTTGAAAACTGAAGACCAGGCAGATGTTTCCTGGGGATGTTGGGCCTGGAAGCAAACACGCCTTGTTCTTTTGTTGACCTCATTGACCCCAGGTTCCCTGGTTAAAACTGGCCTGGTACCCAGTAGCCCACTGATCAATCCTTGAGGCTGTGCCCTCCGGGGCATGCACTTGACAGGGCCCACCATCATGCGACTGAGCTCCCTTTTGGCTCTGCTGCGACCAGCACTGCCCCTCATCCTAGGACTGTCTCTGGGGTGCAGCCTGAGCCTCTTGCGGGTTTCCTGGACCCAGGGTGAGGGAGAAGATCCCTGTGTAGAGGCTGTGGGGGAACCAGGAGGGCCACAGAATCCAGACTCGAGAACTCGGCTCGACCAAAGTGATGAAGACTTCAAACCCCGGATTGTCCCCTACTACAGGGATCCCAACAAGCCCTATAAGAAGGTGCTCAGGTGAGAGCTATGTGTGTGCATAGTTCCTAGACCCCCGTTTAGCGTTGCACTAAATGCTTGCTTCTGCCTTCACTGGTATTCATTGTTGGCTACTTGGAGCATTCTTTGCATTATTACCTGTCATTGTTTGTTCAAATGTTTTCCTCTTCCTCAGGTCTGAGAAAGTCTCATCCACTGGTGTTAAATTAATGGTTGGATGCGCTTGCACAGGGCAGGAATTGAATCTAACCCATCTAATCCATCCTTGGTAGACCTCTCTCCAAATCAGTTCCAGTGTCAGCTACTCAGCAGATGCTCCCTCCGGTAGCTCATTAATGTTGATGAGGAGGTTTCTCCCGTCTCTTTTCTCAACTCCAACTCACTAATTCCTAGGGGGATGTATATGCTGGACAAGCTGGGTTCCTAAAGATTAGGGAGTTGACCTTTGGCACGCTGGTCTCTCCGCAGGACCCGGTACATCCAGACAGAGCTGGGCTCTCGTGAGCGGTTGCTGGTGGCTGTCCTGACCTCCCGGGCCACACTGTCCACTCTGGCTGTGGCTGTGAACCGCACGGTGGCCCACCACTTCCCTCGGTTACTCTACTTCACTGGGCAGCGAGGGGCCCGGACTCCTGCAGGGATGCAGGTGATATCTCATGGGGACGAGCGACCAGCATGGCTCATGTCAGAGACCCTGCGCCATCTTCACACACACTTTGGGGCCGACTATGACTGGTTCTTCATCATGCAGGATGACACATATGTGCAGGCCCCCCGCCTGGCAGCCCTTGCTGGCCACCTCAGCATCAACCAGGACCTGTACTTGGGCCGGACAGAGGAGTTCATTGGTGCAGGCGAGCAGGCCCGGTACTGCCACGGCGGCTTTGGCTACTTGTTGTCCCGGAGTCTCCTGCTTCGACTGCGGCCACATCTGGATGGCTGCCGAGGAGACATTCTCAGTGCCCGTCCTGACGAGTGGCTTGGCCGCTGCCTCATTGATTCTCTGGGCATTGGCTGCGTCTCACAGCACCAGGTGACAGCCCTTTCAAGTTAATCCTGGTCCCCAACAAGTTAGGGGTGACTGAGTGAGTGTTCTCCAGGCTGGGTGCTGCTGGCTCTTTCCCAGCAGCACCTTGGGGCTGTGTTTTCCTGTTCCCAGCCCCTGATCGCCCCTCTGGCTCTCCCTTGCTCCCCTCTGGCAGTCTTAGAACTCTGGGGCCATCAAAGGTGGCATCTTGCCAGGGACCATCTGAGAAGTGAGAAATGTCCCCTACTCACTAGTCCCCCTCTCCTCTGGCCCCCTGCCCTCTGCCTCTCCCCCGATACAGGCACAGTTGTGAATGATCTGGGAATGTCCTAGAGAGCCACCCTGTTCGTTGGAGAAGAGGGGACGATCCCAGAGGGGACCCATCCTCCCAGACCAGAGTATTGGGAGCATTTGCTGGCTCACAGCTTTTATTCCCTTGAGAAACAATGGGGTTCTTTGCAGAGGGAATAGGGCATCCTTAGTTGCCTATTTAACTTACTCTTTTCCAAAATCCAGTGGTGAGTGTGAGGCCACGATTGAGGAGACACTGGAATGAGCTTCTGCCCCCCCACCCCAATTCCGCAGCACTGGCAGTAATAGGTGTGAATGCGAGGGGGGGTTAAAGGCGGTTGAGATGGGCAGCCTTCCCTGTGGGGCATTGATTGGTATCCTTGGTCCCTCTAGGGGCAGCAGTATCGCTCATTTGAACTGGCCAAAAATAGGGACCCTGAGAAGGAGGGGAGCTCGGCTTTCCTGAATGCTTTTGCGGTGCACCCTGTCTCCGAGGGAACCCTCATGTACCAGCTCCACAAACGCTTCAGTGCCCTGGAGCTGGAGCGGGCGTACAGTGAAATAGAACAACTGCAGGTGAGCCAGGGGACCAGGATTGGAGATCAGAGGGAGCTTCAGGGTCCAGGTGCACAGTGAGTGGAGGGGGAGGCTGAGCAAGGTAGAAAGAGGCCGACCATACCTAAATTTGAAACAACTCCAGGGAGAAGGGGCTCTTGGGGGTCTAGTTCAATCATATGACAGTCAAAGCTCCTGGCATGACTTGGATGCACTTAAAAGGGCTTGCAGGTGAATTCTGAGGATCTGGGCTTGATAGAGCGTTTAGAATAGTTTTAACTTCTTTCCAGTAGAGTCTCTCCACCGAAGAGGCAAAAGCCCAGAAGTCCTTGAACTTCTAGCATTCTCTTTAAAAAGTCCAAAGATAGAAGAATTGTCTAGTTGATTGTGGGGACTGTCAGGGGTGGAATACAGTTGAAAATAAAGGTCCCTTTATGAAGAGGATATGAGTACTTTGGGCATGGAAGAGAAAGGCTGCCGAGCTGTGTTTCAGGACGCTCTAACCTCCACGAAAGCACATTTCCCACCTCCTCCTTCTCACAGCAATTATGTAAGGTGGGTATGATTCTTATGCCTTCTGCATCTTACAGGTAAAGAATGTAAAGTACAGGGAATTAAATGATAAGCCGACGGCCATCTCACTAAGTGTTGATGGAATCAGGACAGACCTCAGAACCCAGGACGCCAGAGCTGGGTAGGGTGCTGACTACCTAGATGGCATTAACCGTGCATCCCTCCCACCCTAGGCTCAGATCCGGAACCTGACTGCACTGACCCCAGAGGGGGAGGCAGGGCTGAGCTGGCCCATTGGGCTCCCTGCCCCTTTTACAGCGCACTCTCGTTTTGAGGTGCTGGGCTGGGACTACTTCACAGAGCAGCACACCTTCTCCTGCGCAGACGGGGCCCCCAAGTGCCCGCTGCAGGGGGCCAGCAGGGCGGACGTGGGCGACGCCGTGGAGACTGCTTTGGAGCAGCTGAATCGGCGCTATCAGCCCCGCCTGCGCTTCCAGAAGCAGCGGCTGCTCAACGGCTACCGGCGCTTCGATCCAGCGCGGGGCATGGAGTATACCCTGGACCTGCTGCTGGAGGCCGTGACGCAGCGAGGGCACCGGCGGGCCCTGGCCCGCAGGGTCAGCCTGCTGCGGCCACTGAGCCGGGTGGAAATCCTCCCTATGCCCTATGTCACTGAGGCCACCCGAGTGCAGCTGGTGCTGCCGCTGCTGGTGGCCGAAGCTGCTGCGGCCCCTGCCTTCCTCGAGGCCTTTGCAGCCAGTGTCCTGGAGCCACGAGAGCATGCGTTGCTCACCTTGTTGCTGGTCTACGGGCCTCGGGAAGGTGGCCGAGGGGCCCCAGACCCATTTCTTGGGGTGAAGGCGGCAGCGGCTGAGTTGGAACGACGGTACCCTGGGACGAGGCTGGCCTGGCTCGCCGTGCGAGCGGAGGCCCCTTCCCAGGTGCGGCTCATGGACGTGGTCTCTAAGAAGCACCCGGTGGACACGCTCTTCTTCCTCACCACCGTGTGGACCAGGCCCGGGCCCGAAGTCCTCAACCGCTGCCGCATGAATGCCATCTCCGGCTGGCAGGCCTTCTTCCCAGTCCATTTCCAGGAGTTCAACCCTGCCCTGGCACCACAGAGATCTCCCCCAGGGCCCCCGGGGGCTGGCCCTGACCCCCCGTCCCCTCCTGGAGGTGACCCTTCCCGGGGGGCTCCCGTAGGGGGCAGGTTTGACCGACAGGCTTCCGCAGAGGGCTGCTTCTACAATGCTGACTACCTGGCGGCCCGAGCCCGGCTGGCTGGTGAACTGGCAGGCCAGGAAGAGGAGGAAGCCCTGGAGGGGCTGGAGGTGATGGATGTTTTCCTCCGGTTCTCAGGGCTCCACCTTTTCCGGGCCGTGGAGCCAGGGCTGGTGCAGAAGTTCTCCCTGCGCGACTGCAGCCCTCGGCTCAGTGAGGAACTGTACCACCGCTGCCGCCTTAGCAACCTGGAGGGGCTGGGGGGCCGCGCCCAGCTTGCCATGGCTCTGTTTGAGCAGGAGCAGGCCAACAGCACCTAGCACAGCCCGGGGCCCTGCACCTCCACA